GAGAATTAAATTGTCTACAAAATGGTTTATTTACTTTTGAGTTCTGACTTTTTCAAAAATTTCTGCAAATAAAACAAAATCATAGAAAAACGTCACGGAATTACGTACGCAGGTAGAGTTAGCTGGCTAGGCCGTAAAGAAACTAGGATAGTTCGAAACTTGATCAATTAGGAGGTAAGGGATCTTCGTTTATCAAGATCAGCCGTTTGATTACATTTGAAAATAGATCAGCACTGGATTGGGAACACGTCTAATATTTTAACGCGAAAAAGCTTTGTGTTCTATTTGCGTTTTGAATTGTTTTGTTTCTTATCTAGTGGAAAAACCATCTGATATTAGATTAACGCGTTCTAAATATAAACGTCTATGTGCCATGTTTATTCCCGATCTGTTGTGTGTTATTTTGATAAGAAGAACAGTATTTTATTGTGTGTCAAACTGTCGTCATTAGCATGGTTTTTTCACTTTTTCTTATCTCAGGTAAGAAAAAGTGAAAAAACCATGCTAATGACGACAGTTTGACACACAATAAATACTGTTCTTCTTATCAAAATAACACACAACAGATCGAGAATGAACAGGGTACATATACGTTTATATTTAGAACGCGATAGTCTAATATCAGATGAAGTTAAATCTTATTTTATATTAGAACGTTTACCAGATCAATTGGCACCATCGCCTAATGGAACATTTAAAATCATTGGTCGTTTATTACCACGGTCATTACCATATTCAAACGGATCTTATCGAATTGAAATAACAGTTCCTTGTGCCTTTCCATTTGCATGTCCAATAGTAAAATTTTTAACGCCCTTACATCATATAGCATTGGACTGTTCATCGTTTGTTGTAAAAGAATGTTGTTGTTGTGTTCTTGGTGCTTGGTCACCATCATATAAAATTAGTGCTTGGATTAAACGACATGTTGATCTAATTGACAACATTGAGCTATGTGGTGATCATGTACGGATGGATATCGATCGTGAAAAAGTGAATGAAGAAACGAAAGAATATGTTGCAAAATATGCATTACCAAGAATATTATATACTCAAGTTCATTCATTAAAATCACTATCAAAACAATTGATTCAAACAGTGAATCAAAAGAATAGAACATTACTCGAACAGCAGTTGCCACCGACACTAATGAAATATGTTAATGAAAAAGATGACTTATAACAAACTAACTGAAACATTTTGAATTTTGCTATTTTTGACATTGAATTGTACAAAGTCATGATGACATTCGAAACTATGAGTGACTTGATCAGAAAGTGTAATTGTTCATACCCATTGAACGAATGTATGAAATTCATTAGACTTATTCGAATCTGGTTCAGAATGAATGTGAATATCTTATTTCTAAAAGTTTTTGATCTAAAATTTATTGTTGGTTTAGAAAGCTCAGGTTCTTCACGAGAACTTTGTTCTTTTTAATGAAGAAGTTGGCGTTTCTGCATCAGAACTACGTCTATTTTCCCGAAGAACTTGGGGATCATTCACGAGAGCATATTTTTCCTCTGGAATCTGGGGATTCTTCACGTGTACTACATGTTTTTTCCAAAAGAACTTTGTGTTTCTTCACGAGAGTTGCGTGTTTTTCCGGAAGAACGTGCGGTTTCTTCACGAGAACTTCACGTCTTGCCAGAAGAACTTGGGGCTTCTTCATCAGAACTAGACCCTTTTTCCTGAAAAACTTCGGGTTGTTCTACGAGAACTACATCTTTCTTCCGAAGAACTTGGAATTTCTTCACGAGAACTACATGTTTTATCCGAAGAGCTTGAGGTTTCTTCATGAGAACTTATCTTTTTTTCGCAAGATCTTGAGGTCTACATTTTCAAAAAAAATGAAGCTAGATAAACCGCAAGTTCTCGCGAATGAACCAGAGGTTCTTGCGGAACGAAGACGGAGTTCTCGTGAATCAACCCCAGTTTTTTGAGGAAGAAATATGTAGTTCTCGTGCAGAAACCACAACTTCTTCAGGAAATAAAGAAACCTCAAGTTGTTGAAGAAGAAGACGAACTTGTTCTGAAGAAAAATCAACTTCTTGAGTAAAAAACTTGTAGTTCTCATGAAGAAACCCAAGTTCTTGAGGAAAAAAGATGTGGTACTCGTGAAGAAACGACAAGTTCTTCGGGAAAAAACATGTAGTTCCCTCGACGTTCTTCGGAAAAAAGATGTAGTTCTCGCGAAGAAACACCAGGTCCTACACGAAAAACCACGAATCTCTCGCGAAGAAACACCAGGTTCTTAAGGTGTTCTCGTGAAGAAACGGCAAGTTCTTCGGGAAAATAGATGTAGCTCTCATGAAGAAACCCGAACTTGTTCCGGAAGTTCTCGTGAATAAACCCCATTTTTTTCGGGAAAACAGATGTAGTTCCGATGCAGAAACGCCAACTTCTTCATTGAAAAATGAAGTTCTCGTGCATCGTTTTTCCGAAGAACGTCGAGAGAGCTACATGTTTTTTCCCAAAGAACTTGGAGTACATTCACGAGAACTGCATGTTATTTCCTGAAGAAGTTGTGGTTTCTGCACGAGAACTACATATTTCTTCCTCAAAAAACTGGGGTTGATTCAAAAGAACTCCGTCTTCGTTCCGCAAGAACCTTTGGTTCATTCGCGAGAACTTGCGATTTCGTCAGGAGAACTACATATTTCGTGGTGAAAAAGTTGGTTTTTCTACACGAGAACGTTGTCTCTTTCCCTGAATGAGTTTTCCCCTGGGGTTTCTTGACGAGAACTTCTTTTACGTGAAGAACTTGGGGTGCATTCACGAGAAGTTTATCTTTGTTCCGGAAGAACATGGAGTTTCGCGACCTGTGGCACTCATATCTATGGGAGTAAGGGTTTTTTACCACATATAGTCAAGGTAACTGGGATCTATGGTAAAAATCTCAGCTCTCTATCACCTAGCATGTTTGATTAAATCGATTTTTGTAAAAAATTGGGACACTTCGGTTTCGCGACCTGTGGCACTCATAACTACGGAAGGAAAGGTCCTGGAGGGTTAAAAAACTTTTCATAATTTTACTTTGACGGCTAGTGTTTGTGGTAAAGTTGTCCGTCAAATGTGACGTTGTCAGTACTTGCACGTGTCTGACATTGCTAGGAAATGGCACTTAAGTAAACGGGCAAGACTTCAAACACTGACTTCTTAGGTAGAAAGCGTTATATAGCAAGTTTATTTGAATAAAAGAAGTACTTAAACTTAGATAAATATGGTCACGACATTCCGCACAAACAATAAAAGCAGTGTCATTCAATATCTAGCTTCCTTTTTTTGAAAATGTATAAGAACAGTTCTCACTGACGATATGTAACTGTTCGCACTTTATGGTATGCATCGAAGTAAACATTGCATATAAGTTCTGCACAGTCACGCCATCCACAATTACCAACTGCGTCTCGTGCACAATATCGACATTCCGGCATAAGCTTCACGGATGCATTTGGTGAGGTTTGATTCGCGAGGCATGCTTGAGCCTGTTGCTGAAAACATACTTGACTGAAACTATTACGACAATAACTACAACGTCCGTCTGCTGCGTGATGACACCGCACACATTTTCGACGTCTCGAGGAGTCTGCTGTTGAACATGTAGTACTACTTACTATTTCACGGTTAGCCATGTTTTTAATTCTTGGTTTCTGTATTGCTGATACGACGACACTCATTGTTTAAATTTTGAAAAGTGGGAGAAAATGAGAGTGTTTATATAGCTTTTCTACGACGTGAAACTGCTTAAAAGCGTTGGTTTTTACCAACTACCTTTGTTTTATTCTGGAACAGATTATGATTGAATAATAAAACAGTCACATTTAGAGTAATTGAAACTCGACCATCAAAATGTTCCTGATCCAGAAAACTCCAAGTTTTTCAGCTTGCGAGACAATTCGCTTTTTATATTTGTAAAGAATGTTCAGTGGATTTCGTCGTATATTAACGTATACCCCAGTTTTCATCAAAACTGAAGATTTCTTTTGTAAGTTACTGCTGTAAAAATTTTCTTTACGGATTTTTTCCCCTTTCTAAAAGCGTGTTTCTTATTTTATTGTGTTATTCTCACATAATGACTAAGATGCACATGTGGCATTTTCTTTTTAGAAAACTGCAACCTGCAATTTCGGCTTTTTTTGGCATTCTGCATTCTGAAATGGAAAAATAAAATGATGTTGCATTTCTAAATGAAGCCAAAGAGCTAATTTATCCAATGAAACAACAACTAGGTGGATATCTAACATCCTCTCTCAGTACGAAGCCCATCGTGGAAGGCCGTTTTTCAAAAATTGACAACTTTCAGTTCCCTCAGTAGCAAAGGTATTCAGTCAATTTTTTTTTTTCTCTTACGTGTAGTACTCGTCGAGCTCTACAAAATGGCTTGAAATAAATTTTTAACTAAAATTAGAACCTCTTCAAAAAAAGAGGTTCTAACCCTATTCCTTTAACTTTAGTCTAGGATCTTGCACACTGGTTATCTGTGGGTGAAATATTAAAAAATGGCTGTCAGATACTCCATGGATAAGTCAATCATAAGGAAGAAAAAGTTTACCTTCCTGATGGAATTTTAGGTCTAAAAGTATTTTGAAGAAAGTCTTACGGCTAGTTTCGCTCGAGCCAAGCATTTTGAACCAAAACGTCGAGTACAAAAGTTGCTCAGAACCTTCCTGAGTTCCTCATAAGAGCTTTCTTCAAATTGTTATTTTGTAAATTTTTAAATTAAAGTTTAAATAAAATTTTAAACTGTCGCATTTTTCAATTTTGAACCCTAGAAAAACGCTCTCGTGAGGGACTACAGAATTCGATTCCAAACAACTTCTATAATCAGAGTTTTGGTGCAAACTGCTTGGTTCAAGTGAAATTAGCGGTAAGATGAGAGGGATAAATCTTCGCCGAGGCAAAAAACAGCCATATTTTCAAGGTTTGAATTTTTTCTTCTGACTGAAAGATTAATATTGCTTTAAAAGAAATGAATTAAATTTTAATTCCATAAGAACTTATCAAACTGTAAAAGAAGAAAATAAAGCGTCCTTTTGATGTTAGATTTGTAACATATGGCCAGAATAGCGCCTAAAACAGGACGAGACAATGATGAGGATTTATGAAAATCTTCTTATAAACTGTTCGAAAAAGCTCTTTAGCAGTGTCGGTGTTCCATCCAATCCGGAACTCCACTTGAGATACGAGAAAGACTTCTGAATGAAAGCAGATCACCACATGTATGAAACTCTCCACAAAAATTTCATTTAACCATGAGAATTTGACTTAGTTGCGCGAGAACTTTATCTAACTCACTAGAATTTTCGGTGCGTACACAAAAAATTAACTTTTGAATATAATAGAATAAAAATTAGAATGGTGTCCTATAACAAGTCCCGTCACATAGAATCAAAGGAGACGGGGAAGGGAAGAAGCAGAATCCTAGACAATTTTTTCTGAAGTTTCTGATAAGAATCGGATGAGCTTCTTACCAGATTCTTATATAAAAAGTGGCACAAAAGTCGCACAAATTTCTTACGAATCAGATAAGAATCGAGTAAGAACCTTATAAGACTTTCATAAGAAAGTGATAAGAATCCTTCATCAAATTCTTACAAGATTTATGCAAGAATTATTCGTAGATTTTCGTTAAGTCAAAGAATTTTAACAACGCAGTCGCATTTCTAGAATCTACTATTATAAACTTAAAATTCGAAAAGGTTCAAAGTCTATATTCTAGAAGCGACGAAAAAAATCACGCCATATAAATGGACGAAAGGAGAAAATGGGAATAATAGAGCCGTATCAAATAAGGCATATCTACTTCTTCTATCCATCTCGCACATACTGCGCATTTCTGTTGTGACGAAAACAACAGAATTCTCTATCCTCTTGCATGTTTATATGTTGGAAAAGAAAGCAGACTAAATATCAGATCAAGTAAAAACAAGTTAAGGCATATAAAACCAATTAAAAGCATATAAAAGCAAGTTAGAGCAAGTTAGAGTTTCGTCAGTACTCTGACTTTCTGCTGTGACTCACGGCAGAAATGTGCAGCATGTGCGAGATGGATAGAAGAAATAGATAAGGGTGTTGCAGCCGCAATTGTACTCAAGTTTATATAAAGACGCAATGTTTATATAAATGTGGCTGCAGTACCTCAACAGCAGAACTCATAGATTATCATGAACAACTCACCAGGTTTCGAACTCTGAACGGACCGGTTAAAGTTTTTTTTTGTTCATTATTGTCTACAACTCAAGAAAATTGCTCAAGGAGCCAACCATCGCGAGTGGTCAGAAAAAAAAATTTTCTAGAAGAATTTCATCTAAGTAAGAAACTAATAAGAACTCTTATCACTTTCTTATGAATCCTTATAAGATTCTTATCTGATCCTTACGAAATTCGTACAACTTTCGTGCCACTTCTTATATAAGACTCTTAGCAAAAGCAAATAAGAAGCTGGCAAGATCCTTACCAGGTCCCTTTTCAATTCTTATATAAGAACTGACGTCTTAGGAGTGAGGAAAGATTCCCTATTGGCTCTAAAAACTTACCTTCTTAGATCGCTAACTTTCTATGAATTTTGAAACTTCTAATAGTGAATGAGAGCGTTATTAGCATTGTCACTTAATTTGTTAAGAATTAATATTAATAAAGCAATATTTTCCCTGGCGTTTTTTAATCATGTATTACACAATGAAACAGTTAATCGATCGCCTTGTGGGGCAGTTTGTTGACAAATATATAAAAAATATTGAACTTTAAAGACTGAAATTCAATCAAATTTATTCAATAGTAAAAATCCATCGGTAAAAATTGTTTACTTAATCTCAGCCGATTTTTCCTTTTTAGAACACATGAATCCTTCGTTTTCGTGCGATATCGGTTGAGTGCCACTAGAATAATACATCTTATGATAGAGATGATCATAATGATATTTAATTGGCAGAAGCAGTTTTCTTTACTTGACTAATTTCCTCATTCAAATTGTCGATTTTCTTTGATTTACCTTGACAAATTTTTCGAATTTTGATGGCTTCTTTATAACTGCTTATTTTCTGTGAATCACTTGGAGGAAGAAAATCAGCTAATTGTTCATATTTATCAGCGAGAAAAATAGAATAATATTCATTAGTCGGTGCATCAGGAGATTGTAAATATATGTTTCTTAAATGTTTAACACATTGTAGTGCACATTCAATAACTGCAGTACGATAATGATTATTATCGAAATCTACTGAAGAATCAGCGGCTACAGTACAGATGAGTTGAGAAATTGAATAATATAACCAATTATTCAATGATAATTTTGATTTGAATGTCAATAAATCATTCAATGAAATCTGTTGATAATTATTGTGAATTTGATATTCCAATGTTTTATATTGATATATCAAAGCATCAGAAATGATTTCATTTTCTGTAGAACAACGACTACACGAACACGTAAATTGATAATGCAGTGATAAGTAATCTTTTCTCATCTGTGTTGATTGAAAATTTGTTTCTCCAACTAAGTATGATATAGTTAGTTCATCTCCTTTATGAATTTTTTGTATTGCTCGAACGGTACGAATTGGCATTGTTTGATTATCAACTGTAGTAAAACCTGTCGTACCATGATGTGTATTTGGTTTACAATCGTGATTCATACGTGACCAATAATAATAAATAGCATGATACTGTGACCCTGCTGTACTATAATTTGTCATCCAAATCGCTAATAAATCAAGTATAGTAGAACAAGAAAATAAATCAGATATGCTTAATTCTTTCTTAATCTCAAAATAATAATGTGTAAGAGCTGCAATAGCTTGACCTTCAGGTGCAAAATACAAGTATTTATCTAGTGGATTACCGTGTTGACATTTAATTAAATCTAATTTGGATGAATGTAATGAAGTTAAGTGGATGGCAGCATAGATTAAATTACGCGCAAGAGGAACAATAGGTAATGATTCAATTATTGCTGAGAAAATAGTAGATTCAGAGTGATGAATATCATTGTTGTTAGCATTACTTAATTTAATTGCGGTAACGGCAATCTCTTGAAATATAATATCTCCTGGTTCAAAGTCTTTCTCTGCACATAATATTTTATTTTTAATTGGATGAGAATGAATAGAAATGCAATCAGAACCAATAAGAAGATTATTGAAAGTTTGATTTGGTTGACTACTCATTTGAGCCCTAAAATGAAACCAATTTCTAGCATTATTTAGTATTTTTTAAACCAGTGATGCTTTATATGTTATATAAAACTGTTGAATTAGGAAACACTTTCATTTATCTGTACCTGAATAAAAGCACCCTCGGTAATGATAACTGACGTTTATTGTCCTCTATCCTTCTTTTTTTGTTGCCTCTCTACTATATATTTTGTTCTGTTCTTTTGTGTGAGTGTGTTATCTATTTGTCTCATTGTGAATGAATATGCAAAAAACAAGGTTTTTTTGTATGTGTAGTCATCATGATTGAAACGAAATAAACGTCAAGTTCGCACAACTTTCTTTCACTGCCATTAATAGGCATTTTGAAGAGGAGTTAAAATCACTCGATAAAAGAATTGATATAAAATAAACAGAGAAGGGACAAAACTACATATGTTTTGATAATTAGTCCTTCAACAGGCATTTATTCATATTATGTTATGAAAACCGTTGACGTCCGAGTTTCTCGAATTTTTTCACATTTCTCCGTCAAAATTGATCGGATAGACCTCAAAACTTCAAAGATATTTCATTTGGACTGCTCTACATATGACAGTGGGGCAAGAACTTTTAAACAACTTGCTAAGATCAAATGACGAAGAAGAAATATACTAAAAATCAATAGCGTTGAGATACTAGAGTATAGCAAAAAATATAGCGTCAATTAGCATGTATATATTCTTTTCCATTCTGCGATACTTCAATGTTCTTTTTCTCGCGTTGTCGGACAGCTTGAACAATACTGTATTTTCTCACATAAATGTATATTGTGGCCAATTTGGAAAAGTGGTGCGTTTATAAAATGGCTGGTCAATTTATACATAGACTGGATCTCATTGCCTGATGGTAACTTAAATTGACTAAAATTTTCTTGTCCAATATGCAAATGGACCAGCCGGTATGAACTGCACCAATCAATTTACAAAGTGGCCAGAAATAGTTGATCCGCAACTTTCAATAACGGCCAGTCGTTTTGAAACTTAAACAAAATCGTTTTTAATATATAAATTCCTTTGTGACATCATGATCTGTTAAGTTGTATCTCTCTGTCACATTGGAAACATTTGTTTGCGGACGATTTGTCTGTTCTAGTTTCACCTTCTGCAACCCATGTAATCGTTTGCGTTCGAAAAAACGCGTTTGAACGCTAGTTTTCGAAAAATTTTGAGAAAAAACGCGTGTGAACGCTGTTTTGGGTGTTTATATCTACGTTTAAACGCGTTTTGTAAAAACCTGCGTTTGAATCGAACGCGTTTAAACGCCCGCATGTGTGAGGAGCGTTTGAACGTTTTTTTTCATCAATTCTTGTTAAGCGTTTGAAGGCGTTTAAACGCCGAAGATATTTAATACTCTGAACGCGTTTAATTTTTTGAACGCGTTTTAAGGCGTTTCGATTTGATCAGACGTTTGAACGCTGTTCTGAAACAAGTTACAACAGCGTCTGAAAGCGCTCCTATTATCAAACGTCTCGGCACGCTGTAGATATCTGATACTCTGAGCGTATTTGAGGCGTCCTAATTTGAACAGACCCCTGAACGCAGTTTTGAAAAACGTTCAAACATCGTTCAAAACCGTTTATATTATTGAACAGGTTGCATTTTTATTTTACTACTAACTCTCTCTAAATAAATGAATACCTTACTTTTGAGACACACAAAAGCACAAGTCTTTCAACTACATGTTAAAAAAGTCTCATTTAAAATTTGGATGTAACTTAATTCATGTGTTCATCTGTTTATGAAGAGTTAACATTAAAATAAAATGCTACCGTACGGCTAATTTCTTATAGATATGTTTTACAACCGCCTATTCGTTACAGAAAAGCCCAAGCCTTGGAAACTTGGATTGGTTCTTACTACGCGCGCAGTCCTCGAGACTGCCTTTCTGTTCTGGCTAATTTCTTGATCTGGAAAGAGTTATTTCAGAAACATGAAGGGCTCGCTAAAAAAAGCTGGCGACATTTTTCAGTAGGTAACTGCTTTTTCTGTTCATTCGCATCATAATCGCAGTACTGAAGAAAAGGAAAGCTCCTAGTGAATGTACTTGAATTCGTATAAGAAATAAAAGAAAATGATGTACTTCTTTCGTTATAGTCGTCAGAGAATTTCTCTTCTTTCTTTGGTTTCTAAACCCTTTCGACCCATAGTACACAATATGACAGAAAGATATATCAATCTTTGTCGAGCGCCAATAGCTCAATGGTACGTGTCTCGCTCTCTATTCTTTAGGTCTCATGTTCGAATCCGCGCGTTTGATGAACAAAACGCGTTTGAACGCTACTTGCCTCGAGACAAATATACTTTTTACTTAAAAAGCACATATTCTTTTAAATGAATTGATGTTTCGTCAATGAAAACACGTTTTTCTTCAGAATAATTGATGATCCCTCATGATCTGAGCGTCATTTCATGGGTTTTCATCGATGCTCTCCGATAATCAGTGGTCATCGATGAATCGTATAGGTGTTCGCGCACTTTCATCAATTCTTTAGAGAAACCGGTGTTCATTGATGATCCATGTCAGTTTTACATGCATTTTTCTTTGATACTGTGAAAAAAACGATATTCATAGCTAAATCATCTAGAAGTTCACTCATGTTCATCGATTTTCTGAAAACGTCAGTGTTCATTGATGACTTGTATCAGTTTTCCATGCATTTTCATCGATGCTTTCAAAAATGAGTGTTCATTGATGAATTATTCCGATTTTCACACAGATTCATCTCCGAAAATTATTTCTAGAGTCATCAGTGTTTACTAATGATTTGCATCAGTATTTCATGCATATCCATCGATGCTTTAAAAAAAAGATCAATTTCATTGAATAATAGTCCAAATTCTCTTTTATTTAATGTGGCTCCCGCATAGAGTATTCCGAACCGTTTCTATCTTCAATTGAGAACTCTTGATGAACTCTATCCGACGCTAGCAAGTGCGGCTTGTAACAGTGTGTATGTTAGTCGCCGCATTGCGTTCAGATTTCGTGATCTAAACTGGCTCAGAGGAAGTAATGCACTTTTTCCACAACAGTTAGTCTCATTTTCGTGACGGATAAATCGTCAAAGTTTTTCTTTTCGTTTCTCCGACCGACCGCTGACATATTCTTTTCTCTGCACTTTCCCCCACTTTCTGTGTTCAATCCGAATATCGCGGTCTCCCGGCTTGAGTCGGTGCCAGGAAAAAGCAGAAAGTTTTTTATATATGGATGATCTCGATCAACTTGATCGTGTTGATCATTACTAAATACCACAGCCTCATCTCGATTTAATCACAGTTATTCTTTTATTAACTCCTATCATAGCACTTATTGAAAAAGAAAAAGGAGCCAATATCATTTATTACATAGTTCAAATGGCCTTCATAAATCATCTTTTTTATTTGATGTTTAGAACTATATGACGACAGAACATATTGCGAAAAAATGCAAAGGGATATTTCCTGATGAGTCAATCGCTGTAGCAATAGTATACCAACAGCAGCGATGATTTTTAAATAAATCAAAACGTCGGAATTTAAAATAGAATAAAATGATGATCACACCGCTGCTGTTGCTATGCTTTTTTATTAGCCGTTTTACATTCAATGCGATAATTAACATGGAACTATAGTGGCACAAGCTCACAGTTGATTGAGATTAATTGTCTGCACAGTAGTTTTAGTACCAGTGATAGTAACGGTTATAAAACGCATGATACTAAATACATTGACCGCAGTATATTAGCCATATAATGCTGATGAGATGTGCAAAGTCTAACTATTGTCTTCCTCTACTTCACATTCAGTCGGCTTTCAATCTTCGCAGCGCGTAGCTGGCATTCGGTTTCAACAACTGCAGAACGCTGGGCATTCTGTCATCGACCGTCCAAAAGCAAAAATCCCAGCCAGTTCGTACTGCGTGATGACACCGTACGCATTTTTGACGTCTCGAGGCTTCTGCTGTTGGACATGTAGTGCTACTTACTATTTTCCCCACTAGTACTATATGTTTTTTTTTTGATATCTAACTATTCGGACTTTATGGGATCTATCGAAACAAACATTGCATATAAGTTCTGCGCAATCACGCCATCCACATTTAACAACTGCGTCTCGTGCACAATATCGACATTCCGGCATAAGCTTCACAGATGCATTTGGTGAGGTTTGATTCGCGAGACATGCTTGAGCCTGTTGCTGAAAACATACTTGACTGAAACCACTACGACAATAACTACAACGTCCGTCTGCTACGTGATGACACCGCACACATTTTCGACGTCTCGAGGGATCTGCTGTTGGACATGTAGTGCTATGTACTATTTCACAGTTAGCCATGTTTTTAATTCTTGGTTTTTGGATTCTTGATACGATGATACTCATTGTTTAAATTTTGAAAAGTGGGAGAAAATGAGAGTGTTTATATAGTTCGTCTACGATGTGAAACTGCTTAAAAGCGTTGGTTTTTACCAACTACCTTTGTTTTATTCTCGAACAGATTATGATTGATTAATAAAACAGTCACATTAGTGCAGACATTTTTCCTGTTCTGTTCGTGTTTTTCTTTTTCCATTCTTGGAATGAATCTGACTTCTTTTCCTTCTCGAACATAATTGTTTAAGAAAGAATCCATGACTCTGTATGGCTATGACTGTCATAAATCAAAGCAAAATTTAAAGAAAATCTTTACGCGTGAACACCTGTAAAGTTTCCGTAAATCACAGGTGTTTTTGCCCATGGTAGTCTAAACGAAACCATCTAAACGAGTGGTCCACTCCACTACTTTCCGAAGTAAATTGCACGGTATGCACGGTTACAGTAAAAAATAGAAGTATCTGTTTAATGCACCATTCGAAAGAGAATTCTAAGGGAAGAATAGTAAGGGTTATAAAACGCATGATTCTAAATACATTCACCGCAGTATATTAACCATATATTGCTGATGAGATGTGCAAATTCTAACTATTGTCTCCCTTTACTTTACATTCAGTCGGCTGT